CAGGCTCCCTGTGTTGGCACGCTGGCGTGGGGTGGGGTGGGGTGGGGTGGGCCGGGCCCGTCCCTCGTGGTGCCCTCAGCCAACCATGGGCAGCTCACTGCTCTGCCCAAGGGGGCAGCTTCTGGGCTGGGAAGTGGCTGGCCTAGAGGTGGGCCTGGACTTGGCCGCCTTTTGGGAGAGCCAGGGGGTTAGGATCCCTTCCATGAGAACCACGGGGCTCCCTCAGTCATACCCATATGATGGGAGTGCTTGCTGCTCAGCCCTGGCACGTGGCTGGACTCTTCCAGTCAGCGTGACCCTGGATGTGGGCCCTCTGGTGCCAGGAGGCCAGAGCCGGAGGATCAGGGCCTGGATCCTAGGCCCTGGTGTGTGTCCTCGGAAGCCCAGGATCATGGCGGTCCTGGTGTCTAGGCTGGGACAGGATGTGAGTGTGCGTGGTAGCTTGCCAGGTCCCAGCCTGTGCCGTCGGGGGAGGCTCCTGGAGTTGGAGGGCTGGAGACCCCTGTCGGCCTGGGGCTTCTCAGCTGGGGGTTGTTTGTGGGATGCTGGCTGGGCTAGCAGCTGTTCCCAGGGCCAGTCTCCAGGGTTGGGCTTCAGGCAGTGGGTAGAGAGAAGAGAACCCACCTTTTTCTGAGATAACGGGCAGCCTGGGTGACTGCTCAGCTATCAACCCACAAGTGAGGGGCCCCCAGGTTGACGGCCTGAGCTGAGGCCGCAGGATGCGACCTGGAGAGGTTCGGGCTCTGGGCCGTGGGTGTTCCACAGGTCGGCCTCTGGGGTGGACTCAGTGCTGGGAGAGCCAAGGGAGGAGTCTGCACCTGCCCTAGGCCCCAGGCCAGGCCATGCTGGCAGATAAAGGGCGCAGCCAGCCCCAGCACCACACCTGGGCTCTCCTCGCAGACAGTGTCACCCTCCCACGGGCCGGGATGGTACATGTGACAAGTTTACAGGAAACTAGCTGGGGTCTGGGCCCAGGTCCCATGGGTGGGCGGAGGGGTCCCAGGGGCCCGCCCAGGCATGGGTGAGGTGCTGCAGGTGCCCTGCGGGGGCCTCGGCTCCCTGGGGGCGGGCGGAGGGTCCCAGGAGGCCGGTCTTGCATGTGTTTGAGAGTGTGCAACAAGCCTACAAATTCAGGTGGCCGCTGGCTGGAGGAGGCATCCCCATTGATTTGGGCAGTCATCACTTTACCACTGGAACCGGGGCTCCAGGCAGGCCTCTGAGTGCTGCAGCCAGGAGATGGGGAGCCTTCCGAGGGAACACGGTTTGAACCCTGCCCAGGCAGGATCACCGTTTGTGGGTGACCACAGGCCCCGTCACCTGGCCTGACGTGTTTCCGCCTCTCCTTCCAGGGCCTGGATGACTATGGAGCGCGGTCCATGAGCAGGTAAGGGGCTTTCAGACCTGTCTTTGGGACCGTGGGTGGGTGTGAAGAGGCTGGGTGGGGCAGGTCCCTCTCCTAGGACCTGGGGCCACCTCTTCTTCCTTTAGGGCCCAGCCTGGCCCTTCACCCCTGCCAGAGCCAGGGCCGTCCCCCAGGGCCTCCTGCTCTCTCCGAGTGACACGGAAACCCCCCTGGGCCCTGCCCCTCTTTCATCGCATCTGGCTGGCCCCATCCATCCCTGTCAGGCAAAGGCAAGGTTGGGGAGGGTGGCTGAGGCCGGCATCCGTGGCTGGGGCTGCAGCCTCCTCTGCCCCCAGCCTGCGCTCCACCCCTGTCCTTTGCCTTCCTGGAGGGCCAGGAGGCCAACGGGAGCTGCTGAAAGGGGCGTTGCTTGGTGCGGGCAGACTCGCTGCCTGTGGCTGGGCAGCGTTGTGCAGCCAGGCAGCCGTCCTGTGCTTTGTTTCGCAGTGGCAGCGGCACGCTGGTGTCCACAGTGTGAGGACGCTGACCCCGGGCAGCCGCTGCTCTGAAGAGCTTCCGCGCCTTCCCCCTGGTCTCCGTCCGTTTTCCTCCTCAGCTCTCGCTGGTTTGTTCCTGGGTTTTCTTTTCCACCTGCCCCTGCCTCTTGGTTGGTGACCCCAGACTCTGTGATCCCCCAGGGTCCATGGTGCTGCTCCATCCGCCTCCCCCCCCCAGTGTTTACGCGCCCCACCCTGTGTGTCCCAGCCTTTCGAGCAGAAACTGCCAGGCAGGACCTGCTGGGCCGTGCGGGGCACCCTCGGCCCCACCCTGCAGTGTCTGTGGCACTCACTGCTTTTCTAAGGCTCGCCGTGAGCCAGGTCTAAAGTTTGGAGAAAAAGAAAAATCTTTAAAAAAAAAAAAAAACAAAAAACAAAAAACAGGAAAAAGGACTTTTTTTTTTTCCTGAAAAACAAAAACCGATCTGCATGGACTCTGGTGTGCGCTGTTATCTCGCATCCGACTTTCCCAGCGCAAAGGCCTCTGTCCAGACAGGGAAGGTGCTGGGGTCCCTGGTCACCCCGGACCCTGTGGAGGGCTGCACAGAGAAAGGGGGCTCGTGCCAAGCTCGAGGGGCCTCCTGAGGAAGCCGGCCGCTCCTGTGAGGGAGGCCGGGCCCGGGCACCTGAGGGCTTCTCCCTCCGGACGCTGCGGGCCAAGTGTACATAGAGCAGCGTGGCAGAGTGGCCTCGCCTCCCGTCGGGCACCGGCAGGAGCAAGGTCGGGGGCAGGCGCTGCCCGGCTGGCCACACACGGACACTCCAAAGACCTCCAGCGACCACCCCACCCCCACATTCCTTTGACCAGCCTTGTGAGGGCATCAAGGCTGCCCCGGGCTACCTGGCTGCTCGGGGCAGGGTGTGTGGGCCAGGCCCGGCCGGGGGAGGGCAGCTCTGGGCACGTCGCACCCACACCCCCCACCTGGGGGAGACAGGCGGTTCCTGCCTGGTTCTTCCTAAACGCTCTCGTCTTTTTGTGTGTCTTGGTGACTTTAGAAACAAACACAGTGGACTCAGTGGTTACTGGTATTCTCTCTTCACACACTGAACTCTGGGGAATTGAGTGCAGGGCACAGCCCGGCTCAGCCT